CCCCAAAACCCCAAAACCCCAAAACCCCAAAACCCCAAAACCCCTATATTCTTAAAGATAATCTTATTAACAAACTATTCATACAAATATGAGGAAAAGAGACGACTCCCTAGATGTTCCAAATTGGGCAATTGAGCATGAACTAATGGTATGTATATCAATATCACAATTGTTCCTTCCTAAACATGAAAAATCTTTTGCATAACTCACATTGTGTCATTGTAGAATCATCATGAATCTCAGCCGATCGAAAAGCAAGAAATTGATCAAAATGGGTCAAAAGCATCCAATGGGTTGGATTTACTTATCAAGAGCCAAGAAGTAAATGTATTAATAGTATACACAGGAGGGACTTTTGGCATGATCAGTACTGAGAGTGGCTACAGACCCCAGAAAGATCTCCTGCACAACCTTCATTCCTCCAAGCATCTTTATGATGTAGAGTATTCTAAGGATAATTATATCAAAGGTACCTCTTGCACGCCACTAACTTTGATGAATAAAAGAATTAGGTATCACCTGAAGGAATATGAAGACCTGATCGACTCTTCAGAGCTTAATAGCATGCATTACAAGAGAATAGCAAGCACTATTGAGAAGAACTATGACAAGTATGATTCCTTCATTATAATCTATGGCACAGACACAATGTCGTATATGGCTTCTCAGCTATCTTTCATGCTAGAGAACTTATCTAAGACAGTAGTAATCACTGGAGCCCAGATTCCTATTTCTGAATGGAGAAATGACGCAGAGTCCAACCTTATTGGAGCGCTAACTGTAGCTGAGCATTGTATCCCTGAAGTCACAGTCTTGTTTAATGGAACATTGTTCAGAGAAAATAGAGTTATCAAAGCTGACTCGACTAAAATGCAAGCATTTAGCTCTCCAAATTTCAGAAAGCTAGCTACTTTTGATGTTTTTCTCAACTATCAGAGGGACATCATCAGAAAGCCTCCCACACCTGAGCACAAGTTCAAAGTATTCAGCATGCTAGAGCGAAAGATCTCTCTGATATACATGCATCCGCTGATGACTGAAGATATCTTTCTTAGTTCTTTTAAACAAAGTAAAGCAATCGTGCTTCAAATGTACGGAATGGGAAATTTCCCCTTGGAAAGGACTGACCTGGTTAGCATCATTAAAGATTCAGTTCTGAAATACAACAAAACAGTAATTATTGCCAGTCAATGTCGTGATGGCATAGTTAAAGATAATTACTCCAGACTCAGGGAGCTAACTGATATAGGAGTAATCCTTTCTGAAGATATGACAACCGAAGCCATTATTGCAAAACTCTCTTATGTCCTTGGGAAAGGATATCGAGGCAAGCATGTTGAAGATCTCATGAAGACTGATCTTCGAGGAGAGATATGTGCTCCCATTGTGAAAGCAGAAAAAGAAGATGAGTCAGATATGTCCAAGATTCTATCAATGAGCAATATTATCCAGAAATCTACACCTGAAGATCTTAACAAAGTTGCTGAAATGTTGCATTCAAGTTTGTTAAATTCAGCAATAAATTCTACAGGTACCTCAAATCTCAAGAAATTGTTGCAAAATGGACTTGATCCTAATGTCAAAGACACTTCAGGGTACACTCCATTACACTTAGCAGTTAAGTCTAATAAGGAAGATCTTGTTGACTTACTCCTATCCATAGAAGGAGTTGACATCAATCTCAAAGACAATGAAGGAAACTCTGCTTTATATTATGCTTGCTATAATGGAAATGAAGAAATCACATCAAAATTACTAAAAGAAAGCGATTATTTGGAACCCTCTGCAACTTTATGAGCTTGATTAGCTGCTAAAACTAAAATAAACGACTTGCAAAGTCTCAAACTCTTCCGTAAGGCAGGTATATCCCTCAACCAAGAGACCAAGGAGGGGAAAGAAGTGTATAAAATTGCTAAGGAAATGGGTCATAGTGAAATCCTACATTTTCTCAACTTTACAGGAAAATTGATGAGCCTAAAAATAATTAATAAACAAGGAACTTTATGAAAAGAGCAAGATTCTTCAACAATAGAAGGAAATTCAATGGACAGAGCTGAAAAATCATCCAAAGCAGAATAATTTGCCTAATTTTCCCAAACTTTCACCAAAATTTTCTATTTGCCCCTCAAATTACACCCTCAACTACCCTAAACCCCAAATTACACCTAAAATCCCACAGGTTCCTCTAAACCTCTGCCACCAACCCTAAAACTCCATCATTCATCTTCCTAATTTCTAACCCTACTAACCTCCCCCGCCTCCCTTCTCTCTTTCTATCTTATTCACCTCCTTTACTCAGTCCTGACCCAATCTCTACGCCTGAACATTGCCTCTTAAAAGCCAATGACAAACAGCCTCAATTTCTAACACTTTTATTTCTTATTCTAAAGGATTTAGATAATGACAGTATTTTCAATCTTTTAAGGATAAACAGGGGTTTTGGGGTTTTGGGGTTTTGGGGTTTTGGGG